ATGTCAACCCTAAATAGAAATGCAACGTCGAGGAAAATTAGGAACATCCTCTTGTTCAGACCTGACACTGACCACGTCTAGGTTTAGAAATTCCGACCCCGTTATTCGAACGTGTAGTCTGGCAGGCAATTGCTGTCAACCCTCCGAGTTTAGCGTTCCATGTGTACTCTAGCTATAATTATTTAGAATTGTTACTTCGAATTGAATCGTAGCGGAATTTTTAACGGATCGCACCAATTTTGATCCGAAACTGATTATTTGTCTTTGATTAAGATTCCAGGAAGTAAAAATCTGCAAATATCGGTCCGGTATTTTTCCGAATACGATTCGATCGTTCGAGGAAAATGGACAACCGACGTCTTCTGACGTCAACCGTATAGTATTTACCCAATTAATTATACAGGATTTACTGCAACAGAGTCTAGTATCTCGTAGCGTTTGTTTTCGTCGTTTACTTTGATTTCGACTAGTTCTGAGATTCGATTGAATCGAAACGTTGATTGGGAATGTTCGATAAGGTAATAACACATTTAGTCGAGAACGTATCGTATACAAATAACGAGCAATTTCATCCCTCGTTTGCGAATGCTCGAAGCAGCTTCGGTCAATCCGTTCAAGGAGATTAGCGCGCTCGTGTAGAACGAAACGCGGCTTTCGAAGGTTGTCGTAACGCGAAACGATGTCAGTGTGTCAGTGTCAATGGAACCGAGTCATTGGTTTTGTCGATTGTGATTCAACGGAAAGATGGTTTTGCGTTGTGTCAGCTTGCGACGAAGAAACCGGGCAGATCTTTTCGGAATGTTCTCCGTTTGAGAACGCTCAGAAACGTTTCATTTGATTATCTTTACGTTACATGACTATTATTACAAATGCGTTGTATATTCTATTTGAAAAGTTCAATTAAACGTGTATTTGGATTGTTGGATAAAATGAACATGTAAAATGATTTTGAAACGAAATGCTCTGGCCCACGAGAACGGGATGCGTTCGAGGTACGAGTCGATGATTCGTCCGATTCGAAAGTGGAATTTTCCTGGTCGCGCGGAATCGATCCTCGTCGCGAGTCTATCTCTCGTCGGGTTATAAGCTAATGAAATCGGTAATTAACGAGCGCTTGGGTGTCGAGCGACGGGCAAAGAGAAAATGAGGATAGCGAGAGTGATTACGGTGTTGAGATAGAGAGAGAAAAGGCCATCGAATCGCTGGGAATTCGCGAGCGCGCAATCCGGCATTTAGCCTTCGTCGGCTCAAAATAAACGCGACAACTCACTCTGTCTCTGCTCACCGCGCCTCTCCTTGCTCGGTCTACCTCTCCTTTCGTCTCTGTTCTGAACGAACGTTCCTCCTTATCTTTTGTTCGCTTCCCTCCATATATATTCTCTCTCTCTCCCTCTCCTTTCGTCTCTCCCTCTCTCCCTCTCTCCCTCTCCCTCGTTCTCTCGCGCGAATACTTTCGCCGTCTCGGTCGTTTATCGTTGAGTAGCTAACTAAGCACGAATCCAATTCGCCACACGTACGACCACGTGCGTGCAACGGTAGCGGCCGTGTGCGTGCGCAAGCCGAAGCATGTGTTGCTCTTTCGCGTGTTCGTTCACTCGTTCGCTCGCTCGCTCGCTCGCTCGAGTTTACACGTATATACAGAGTGATTCTCGGAATTGGGACAAACCGTAGCTCATTTCCAAGAGCGGAGACACAAATTGAGACGGAAACCAAATACGCATCTGTTATTTTCATCATTTTTTGTTTAATTGCGTTACGCCCCTCATAGTGTACAAGATATTTTCAACTTTAAAATCGCATGCTTGGAGACCGTAATTGAAACGGTAGCAAACTTATTACCTTGAACTTGATCGAGTCGAAATAGAAGAACTTGCATTTGTCCGTACGTCGTGGATGACTTTTAAATAACGAGAAACGAGTGAAGCGAATCCGAAACTAACGGTTTCTGAGATTCTCGTGAACGAACCTAAACAGGCACTCGTTACATTTGCCTGTATCCGCTCAGATGTTGCAACATCTGGAAAATCGGATGACGTTTCGTTATCGGGGAGATACGATCCATCGGTATGTAAGAACGTTTCGTAAATTGGAGTCCCGGAGCACTACGAGGAAAGAAAAGTGCGCTGTATCGTGGAATCGAGAGAAACGATGATTTTCTGATTATCCCTATTTTTGGTCACCTTTAAATTGGAATTTAGGTGAGAATCTTAAGTTATCGTTATAATTCTGAATCGAGAGTAAACGCCCGATCGACATTTGTTGAAGTATCGCGATCCATCGTTTCGCGTAAAAAGGACGAATACCCGCTGCGTGGTTGGCCGTAAAACTGGGTCGCGATGTTTTATTAACCGACGGAAGGGAGGGTACTCATTTTACTGTTCGGTCCGATAAAGTAATAATCCTTTATCGCGCGATCGAGGAGTACGTACACGGATCAGGGGGAAAGTTGAGAATGTCCTTTGATACATTTGGTTCGTGCGTCCCAAAACGGTGGCATTTTTGCGAATCGACGCCGACTACGCGGATCTATTCGACCCGCCACAATTCAACAATCAGCTCGAACAATTATTCGCTCGACCTTGTTCGATGCTGCCGGTTGGTTACCTGTATTGTTAACTGTTTTCGAAGCTGAATGGAAAAGGAATATAATTCCCAAGTATTTTTCGCTTCCTGCGATGCTCACTCCAGTTTTCGACGAACTCGTCGAATGGACGCAGTTTTTTCTTTTGATATAATATTTGGAACGGAAACAGAGAGTCTGTGATGTCTCGCGCACGTCAGGTTTATAAATAGCCGTTATCGGATTAGATTTTCGAAGAAAATAGGCCGAGATTCATTCGTTTATTTACATTTGGAGAATGAACGAAAAAAAGGTTAATAATGATTCTATTTATAGCAGGGAGATAGGAATAACGATAGAATTGGTTGGATCCGAGAGTGACGTTAACGTACTTAAACGCGAACCATGGCGTTGTAGGATTAACAGTGGAGTATAGCGTGGGTTGACGAAAAAGCGCCGGTTGCTGGTATCGAATGAACGATCAATTTAGTCTGCTCGATGCCAAAGCGATTCGCTTCGACACTCGATGACATCGATAGACGCGTCAGCGTCGTTGACCGGTAACCCATGGCGCCAAAATTGTCGGTCGAAAATTCGGAAAATTTCAGAGTTAGCGGGAATTCGATCGATCGAATATAGAACCTCACGCGGGCTGCTTCCATTTATTGAACCGCTAATCGCGAAAAACGTCAAGATTCGTTAACGCGATGAACTTTGCGGACTTTGCAACGCGTCGTACATCGTTTCACCAACCAGAGTTCGCTTTTGATTGTACGCGTTTTTGACAAGTAAACGAATACCTTGCGTTAAATGATGTAGTGGTTGTATTCGATGCACAGCGTGCAGTCAAGAGTGAATCCCCGAGTATTCGACGAAAGCATCGGCTCGACTGGGATTGGGTGGGATTTTAGTAAGCAGGAAATCAGTCGTATCTAAACTCGTAATGGGAAGAGATACATGTATACCAAGCGCAACTCCGAAGAGCGAGGAGCGAGGCGCGATGCTTCGCGGGTGTAATATCCGTCCTGTCGCCGGTTCGACGGCCAATGGCCCCAGACTCTATCGAACGAACGCTCGCGTATCCGTAGCCGCGGATTCGATTCGATTCGATTCGTCTCGTCTCGATTCGTCTCGCCTCCAAGCTTGGTAAATTTTGCGCAATCTCCCACGCTATCGAGACCTTCCATCTTCCCAACCGACCGCGTTGATATTTCCGGCAGACATGAAAAAGTATCGAAACAATAGAGTTCGGTCGATTTCGGGACGGAACAACCGTCTCGTAACGAACGCAGTCCGCGCGCGATTGATTTCCGCTCGACGGAAATTAGTGATTTTTTCTCGAGTCTAATCTCTCGATTACTCGACGCGTGACTCGACTGTACGCGATGGAGTTCCAGTCACGAGAATCGATGCGCGGAAAAAAAAAGTTTGATCGAGAAACTCGAATGACACGAAGAACGTAAGGAATTCGCCGCGATTGCGACTGATACATATCGGTAGTCCGAACCGTTGGTTCGTTCGGTACGCAATCCCCAACGTCGGCGTTGCGTCGCCGGAAACGCGACTAAACAGGTGTTCGCGGCAGCTGCAGCTGTTCTTTTCCGTGGCTCGTCGCAAAACTCTCCTCTCTCTAGTCGCATCTGTATCTGCCGCTGTTCCTTCTGTATCTCACGTTATCTCTGTCTCTTTTTCGCTATTTCCTGAAACGTGGGAGTTATTCTCGGCGATGTGTGTCGCATACGCGATGAAATTTCCCTTCCGCGAATTTCCTTTCAGAATATAAAGGCGTTCGGCTTGCCATGAATGCGTGTAGCGTGAGTACCTACGTTTGGTAAGTCCCCCTGATCGATATCATCTCGATGGCAAAAATCCTTCGTCATGATTACGATCATCGTGATTACTATCGATCGGCAACGCTCGGCTTACGCGAAGAAACGTGACCGAGTTTTTTTACGTAAGTTTCGGATTGAAAATAATCTTCGATTACCCAATCTCGAGAAGTCCAGCGAAGTCGAGATTTCGTTGAATGCTCGTTTTATGTCGATAAATGGTGCGTGCCAAGCAGTGTTTCCGTCGTTTTGATGTCGTAGTTAACAAAGCGAATCTTTTGAGTCGCGTTCTATCGTAAATCGCTCATTTTCCAAGGTTACTTACGATTCCCCGTCGGTATCCTTCGCTTCTTTCGTGCAAATGTTCAAATTTATTTTTAAAGCTTTCACGACTGATGACGCGACACTACGGTTTCTCGTAACCCAATGTAGGACGCTTCACCGGTGGTATTACACTTTCTCTTATACGTGTTGCTTCGAGAGCCGGAAATCGTAACATAGGTAATTCTTCAGTAGAAATTCTTGTTTTTTCTTAAACGTGCTCTCTCGACCTTCGCTAAGGTATATTTGTTAAATACGATTAACGTTTAGGGCCGGATTTGTTGTTTCAGTGTGGACCGGGACCGGCTTCGGGAGCGGGAACGACAGGCCCGCGCGGCGATGTCGGTCCAGGCCGAACAGGCGGCTGCGGGAGGTGGTCCTGACACCAGACACCATCATCATGGCCATCACAACAACGCTCACCATCACGCTAATTCGCATGCCGTCACCGCTCCGCTGTTCCGTGCTCCCGTCAGGGTAAGTCTATCTATGCTAACTTCCATCTCATTTTTGAGTTATTGGTCGCGGTGGTATCGGCTCGTCGATGGTTACGTTTAGGTGCCATATGGCAACGCTTCGTCTCTCCTTCCCTTTCCTTTTTTTCTTACTCTGTGGAAACACTTGGTCGATCTTCGAACGCACTCACGACACTCGGGGTGTTCCGATTTCAGTCTCGAGTTTGGAAGAGGAATACCGAAGCGACGACAGCTGCTCGAAGGATGTATAGAGATATCTCATATGAACGTTGCATCGAAACCAAAAACCCGAGATTCTTTCATGTCTCGCAAACATCGTCCTTTTCGTCGTCTCGATCCTTTCGATTTTCTCTTCTTTCGCCTTCGCGTTCCAGTCGTCGCGTCGGTCGCGTTGCTACCCTCGGATTTATTTTCCAGCTTCGAATCCGATTCCAATCGAAGATGGACCGAATCGGACCGTCTCGACGCGACGAGACCACTGTTAATTATCGATACGAGTTTGCACATTGACGCTAACGACTTTTCGAACGTTGCTGTTAGCCTCTCCGTCTCGTACTCAACAGGTGTTTCGCGACTTTTAAACTTTTCTAATAACCATTTTAAGACCTTGTGGATTTCCGTCTCCGACATGACGTCGACGTACCAACTGCCTTACCGAGTAATTTTCCATTGCTTTTCGACGTTTCATGTTGCGGACTCCTAATCCATTTCAAGCACGCGTTTAACGATAAACGTTTCAACAGCAATTTTCGGATCTTCCTTAATCTGACTATACGTACGCATTCATTCACAATTAAAAGTAAAAGTACTAAACGTGAAACATAGATTTGTAAATAAATAATACACGAGCAGCGGGTAACAGAGAGAGAGAGAGAGAGAGAGAGAGAGAGCAAACGGAGACATCGCGAGGAAGAAAAGTCGTACGCGTGTACGCTCGCGGCGAGACTACGGCCGCCACGACTTGGTGTATTTATTACCGAGATTAACGGCGTGCATTTGCATTTTATGTAGCGCTGCTCGCATTGCGAAAACTTGTGATTTAAAGCGAGTAACGGCCGTAACCCGGCACGCGAAGCTCGCGCGAAGGGACTGCGACAAGTATACAAAGGGCTTGGAAAAGGTTGGAGGGGAGGACGAGACACTGCTTTTTCTCCGATATGTTCCGCGGTAATGCACACGACGGTGCACGAATCGGAAATAATCGTAAGAAAGATCATTCGTTTGTAGATCTTGCGGTTGATTTCTGAACTCGTGCTGGAAAAGCGTTTTGTTCGCGTACTCTCAGGGACAGGTTCGTTCTTTTCGACGATATCGAACGAGTATTTTATTTTTCATACTGCGGATAAGAAGGTCCGCCTTACTCTTTTTCGTTCCTTCGTAACGTATACCGAGGTGTTGATTGATGCGGCTAGGTGGAAAGGTGTCCCTTTGCTACCTTGAAAGCTGCTGCGGTAACCGAAAGAGCATTACTCTGTTTTGTACAGGTGTCGAGTTGCAAGAAACGAGAGACTTTCTTCCTTCTTCCGTTCTACTCGTTTCGCCTTTATCTCGTTCGAGAGTAAAATACGTAAAACATTTATGGCAAGAATGCAATAACCGATAGACCTTCCACGGGTTCCTCGCACGATCTTATATCGTAAATTGTAATTCGATTTTGATTTTGATTTTGATTTTGTCATAGTCGAAGAGTGTCTGTCCCATGAGACGACTTTTCCCCGCTGTAGGTTGCAATTAACGAATCGCGTTACGTGCTAATACCGCGATCGGTCGATCGTAAACAAGACTCGAGACTAACTCGTTCGCTTCGAAATCCTGCCGGTGCAACTTTCTTTCGCGCGACATACGGAAGAAAATCCACCACCCTGAGAGCAACGTCACTCGTCGCGCTAGCCGACAAATCTTGAAATACCTTTGCTCTTTTCGCTCGGACGAATAAACTTGAGCTATTGCTGCGAACGCGTCGAGGAGAAAGCCAAAGCTAACGGTGAATGCTTGTGACGAAATCGTGGGCTAAAATACGAATCAAACGCGTATCAACTTCTGAGGACGATTTCCGGCTAATTGTAAGAAGACGAATTTTCTCGAACGTCGTCGGTAATGCAATGGTTTTGCTCAATGCGCCCCGTATTGGTGGTATACCCAGACGTGGAATGTACGTATCGATCGGTGGATTACATAATTTGCCACGAGGCTAATGACTGCACCGTGACGACGACGACGACGACGACGATCGGAACGATGCCGGAGGGCCGATAACAGCATAGCCATCCGATAACGACAAATAGCGATTGCACGGTCGTGGCTCGTTTCGCGTTTTGGCAGCTGGAATTTCGTTACGGGTTTCCAAGTTTGTCTGCGTTCGAGTCAGTCGCACCGATTCGATCGCTAGCTCATCGAAGAAGTGACAAATTATCGGAATCTCTCGCAAACATCACCGAAACGGACAACCTTTGATTCGAATAGCCGACTGCGAGTAGAAATATCGCTCAATGATTTACTCGCCAACGGTTCTTTTATCGGAGGGTTATTCGATAACGCGTCAAATATAGTTGGTTTTCTCGACAATGGCAAAATTCTCGTACGCGTACTATGATAAGAGAAAGATGGAAAGATGTTTGGCAAATTAGGTGTAAATTGGTTTTCAGTGATTGAGTTTACTACTCTTGCTTACAATTCTGACACTGTATCGATCGCGGATACGCGGTGTTGACGCGATGTTGATCAAAGACTCCCAGGGGACGCGTATGCGTGTTAATTCGTCGGCAAGTTGGAGCACCGGAGGATACACCTTTCGCGATTATCCGGTCGTCTACCGATCGTCTATAGGATTAAGTCGTGCTCTCGCGTTAAGCGGAAAGCGAAGCCCGTGATTTGTAGGTCGTTTGATCGCATTATATCTGCCTCGTGGTTTACGTAATCCCTACCTGTGTGTCTGTGTGTAGGTGTCCATTTGCGCGTGACCATCTCTTTCTCTCTCTTTCTCTCTCTTTCTCTCTCTCCTCTTGCACATGGGGTGGTGCGGAAACGTCGTTATTCTTTCTATATACAGGGTGTTCTAGTAGAAACATTTCACCTTGATATTTGTGTTATCTTAAGAATCGGGAATAAGCGTTGCTCGCAAAAGTTCCGTTACAGATAGCGACCTCGGTTTCTTCGGACTTTTTTGTTGCCCGATATAACGAAGATGTCAAAGTATTTCACTTTTAGCGGAACACCTTGTTTGCACGCAACAGTCGTACGCGGTGTTACGCACGCGCCAAATTATAGGTTAAGCTAGAGTCGCGACGATCATATCCTCCGCGTTTCTCTTCACCTCCTTCTCCTTCGGCTCTTTCCGTTCGGCTTTCCGTCTTTCCAACTTTCGCTGTTCGACAGAGCACGTCGCTCAAGGTCCATACAAGAATTAATGTACATCGAATACGACTGACTCATTGGAAAAAAAAAAGAAATGAGCGACGCGCTTCCCGGGTAGCGGAAAATCGCCACGACCGAGTCGCATTTTCTTTGACGCGTGCACATGTTGGTGCGTGGCCGATTACGTGCGTGCGTGCGTGCGTGCGTGCGTGCGTGCGTGCGTGCATACCGCGTAGTGGCCCGTCTTCATCGTTCGTTCTCGTCTCTGACCTCGTTTTCACCATAGCTGTCGACTCTACTAATCGGATGGCAGACGTCGGAACTCGACGAGTTAAATTCCTCGCGGTTACGTCCGCTTGCGAGATGTTTTTCGCGCAAATCTACTTTCCCCGTTACTTTGATCGCCAATGTTTCTTCTATTCGAACGTGAAATTATTCGAGCCATCTTGTCACGGAAGATTTGTCTGGGTACCCGCACGTTGGGAATGTTTCGCGACAACCTTGCTCGTCGACTTGTTTTCTTTCGGCGAAGGTATTCCCACGCAAGTTGCGTCTGGAGTCTGCCGGCTCGCGATATTATCGACGATCTCCGCGTGCGTTTGTTCCTCTCATTGGCGGTCGTTTGTCATTTTCCGTGCGATCGGTTGGAATTCCAGTCGAACGCGAGCCACGTTGGAACACGAGCGTATTTACCGGAGGTAATTTCTGTCGCGTGTCGAGTCGTCGGCGTCGCGCAAAAATATCACTGCGTGTGCACCGACGTTGACCCGTCGATCTAGGGAGAAAAACGATCGACGTGTTCTCGCGGTTACAAAACCATTGCTCGATCAACTACTCGATCGATTGCGGTCGATAAAACTATATTTATCGTTTAATTTATTTACTTCGTTGTCTCGATAAGATAAATTTGATTACTCGATTAGTTTTACCGAACTCGATACAGTCATTGACGCCTTCTTTGCGAATATGTTTCGCGGTGCTGGTATTTAGCGTAATTTATTAAACCGCCTCCAGACGGGTTTCCCGACTCACTTTGACCATACCACACCACCGAAGCACCGAAAGAGAAGAGAGTGTGGGTGGAGCGCGGTGCAGTGGCAGGACGGTCGGTGGGTAAAACACACACGTGCACGGTGAAACCGTCGGGGTTGCACACGCCCGCGCACACAAAGAGAGCAACCCTGGCTTTCACAGGCGGGGGTGGTATGATGGAATCAATACCGGTGTGTGAGAGGGTGGGATAATGCCGTGGCTTGACGAGAGTTGTAGCCGCCAAGGGAGAACTGAAAAGAGACGGAGAACGATGGTGGTGGTGAGGTGGGCGAAGGTGTGGGTGTACCGTGCGAGAAGGCGAAAGAGAAGCCCCGAACGAGAAGAGGAACGGCACACGGGGTGTGCCGGCGAAGGAAGAAACGGTTCGGAGCGAAGGAACTTAAAGGGTGGGAGGAGAACTCGAGACTACCGGAGGAAATAAACAATGGGCTGGTAAGCCACGTTCGGTAGTGGTAGGTATACGCTGCTGGAAAATTACCTACGATACCAGATAATGGAGAGACCGGGGAGAGTGGCGTACAGCTGCGGTGGTAACCACCTTCCGCGATCGGTGCAGCCGATATTCTTCTCGGCTTTTACTTTTCGCTCCATTTT